TAAAAAAGGGGTGGATATTCACATGTGAGCCTCTCAACCTTAGCAGAAGAAGGGAGGATTAATTTTTCTGTACTGGATCCTCGGCTGTTTGGTTGGGGCAGTTGATCCAGGGCCCCTCCCCAGTTATGAGCCAAGTTCTGGAGGGGTGATATGGCCGTGGTTTCTGGTATAAACTGAAATATCCCTTCCTTCCTTTCCTCCATCCTTCCATCCATCTTGCTCTTCACCTTAACAAGTGACCAGACCAAATCTTACAGCGCAGGATGGCTGGCTGGGTAGAGAATAAGCTCAGTGGGGAATGGATGGCGATGAATGCCTCCAATATTCTTTTTTTCCCTGCTCAGTGTAACAGTTCTGGACTTCCCCCTCTTCTTCGTCATCTCTTGGATTACAGTACTTCCAAACAGCAAGCAACCAAGAGCAATTTTTTTTTTGCTTATATTGATCTAACCCTATGAACGTTAGTGGTCTGGTCAGGCCCTAATCGGCACTCTTGTGAGGGAACAAATCACTTTCCGTTGCCTTTTAAAGATCTACTTTTACAGAGTTCATTAAGGAGAACTATTACCAATGGTTCTAAACTGCCAACGGTTTTATACACACGCCCCCCAGAGACACATCCATTCCATTCATCTGAAGAAATGGGCTTGGACACACACAAGCTTATGAAAAAGAAAAATGAGTTATAATCTTTTAGCTGCTACATTACTATCTCTGGTTTCTGTTTTTTGACAAAACAGATTGAGGGCGCAACAGTACGGGGGGCGGGGGCATTGAGGGAAATTCTATGAGTTTGTGGTGGGCTGATTTACATTTTTTTCTTAATGATTGCAAGATGCAAAGTTAAATGGGGTCTCCTACTCCCCCATCTGTAGTTTTCCCTTCTGTTGCAGGGGCTTTGATTTTTTTTGTTCAGTTCAGTTCAGAGATGTGATTGCTTGAACTGGTGCAGAAAAGCTGCCACACATTCAGGAACAGTAAACAAAGCCCTCCAACAAGACATTTTCATCTGCTTTTTTTAACAGCTAAGGGTAAAACAAGGTCTCTCTGGGAAAGTCTCAGCAACACTTGTTTCTTTTTTCCAGCTAAGGGTGAAAAGGCCTCCCCCCCCCCGCCACCACAACTTTGAAATGGCTTACAAAGTCAGCAAGACTTTTATTTTTTAGATGGGTTG